CGGTTGAACACAGTCATTCACAATTTAAATAAAAACATATAAGTTTGCAAATATCTCTTGTAACTTTTTATGTGTAAATATAAATTTCTGAAAAAAATTAATAAATTTAGGAATCTTTTTTTTTTCATTAAAATTCTCTACAAATATTTGGGTAAATATATTCACAACTAGTGTCTATACAAAGTCATACCAGTTTACAATAAATTAGTTATAAATTAAAAGGATGATTTTTTATTTTTATTTTTAAAAAATAAAAAATTAAAGAAAATGTGTGTTGTTATTTTATTTTATTTTAATTTATGAAAGAGAATATGTATTGCTCCATTCATTTCATTTTATGCGTCACATTTAATTAAATATGAAGTTTAAGAAAATAAGTACACTTTTGAATCTTGTGATTTTAAGCTAAAAAAAAAAGGCATAATACATAAAGAGGATCCTTAACTTGACATCAAATGGCAATTATGACCTTAAATTTTGCCGGTGCACAAGTAGGCACTCTTCAACTATCCAAAAATTTCACAATTAAACACTCAAATCCTACATTGTGAGTAAAACACACTTCAATTAGGCACGTCGGTGGTAAAAATAAAGGCCTCCAACGGTAAATAAATTCTTAAATGACACTTCTACCCTTAATGAATCAATTTCATATATATATATATATATGTGTGTGTGTGTGTGTGTGTGTGTGTGTGTGTGTGTGTGTGTGTGTGTTTTATGAAACTATAGAATAAGAAGAAGAAAGTAGAGAGAGGAGAAGACTTATTATTTCTCTTGAGGGATGATTTTACAATGAAGAGGACCCCTCTATTTATAGGGGAAATCTAACTTGGTTCCCAAGTAGGATTCCTAACCATATCCTAAAAGGACTTCACATAATTGACATTCACTATAATATAAATACTTTATAACACTCCCCCTGAATGTATAATTCATAAATGATGTGCCTCGTCAAAAATACGCATCTAGGTTGCCTCATTAAAAACCTTACAAGGAAAACCCAGTGGGACAAAACCTGGTAAGGGAAAGAGAGTACAACGCATATTAACTCCCCCTAATGAGAACATCAATCCAGAGACTTGAATCTTCACATTCCAAGCTTGTGCACCATCTTCTTGAAAGTTGCAGTTGGTAGAGATTTGGTGAATAGGTCAGCCACATTGTCACTTAAATGAATCTGTTGCACATTTATATCACCATTCGTTTGGAGTTCATGTGTATAGAAAAGCTTTGGTGAAATGTGATTTGTTCTATCTCCTTTTATGAATCCTCCCTTAAGTTGTACTATGCATGTGTTGCATTATCTTCATTTAAAGTGGTGGGTATTTTATCACACTCCAAATCACATTTTTCTCGAATGAGATGTATCATAGACCTTAACCACACACATTCTCTACTTGCTTCATGAATAACTATTATCTTAGCATGATTTGATGAAGTGTTTACGATGGACTGCTTTGTAGATCTCCAAGAATATAGCAGTCCCCCCACATATAAACACATAGCCTGCTTGGGATCGAGCTTTGTGTGGATCAGATAAATATCCTGCATCAGCATAATCAACAAGATTGGCGCTACAATTGTTCTTGAGGTCGGAATGGATCCTTATTCACATCAAGTGAGCGAACAACCATCAGAGTACTTAATGGATGTGCTTCATCCATACAAAATATTTTCAGCACTTTTTCTGTGTAGGCGGATTAAAGAAGAAAATACCATTTGTCAAATTCTCAATTTGCAAACCAAGACATAATTTTGTCCTTCCAAGATCTTTTATCTTAAATTCGTTCTTTAAATAATCAATTGCCTTTTGAAGCTCTATTGGAGTTCCAATAAGATGTATGTCATCAACATAAATAGCAAGTACAACAAATTCCTATGTTTTTTTCTTATAAAGACACATGGACAAATTGCATCATTTGTATAACCTTCCTTAACTAAATACTCACTAAGATAGTTCTACCACATTCATCCAGATTGCTTTAAACCATATAATGATCTTTGCAATTTAATTGAATACATTTCCCGAGATTTTGAATTACATGATTTAGGCATCGTAAATCCTTCAGAGAATTTTCATGTATATCTCATTATCAAGTGATCCATAAAGGTAGGCTATAACCACATCCATCAAATGCATTTCAAGTTTCTCATGGACTGTGAAACTAATGAGATAACACAATGTTATTGCATCCATAATGGGTGAGTATGTCTCTTCATAATCGACACTAGGCCTTTGTGAAAATCCTTGTGCCACAAGGCGTGCTTTATACCTTTGTATTTTATTTTTCTCATTTCTTTTTCGCACAAAAATTCATTTACCGCCAACAGATTTAATACCATTAGGTGTTTGAACTCTAGGTCCAAAAACTTCACGCTTGGCAAGTGAATTCAACTCTGATTGAATTGCTTCTTGCCATTTTGTCCAATCATTTCTTTGTCAACATTCTATAACAGATTGAGGTTCAAGATCCTCATTATTTTGCATGATTTTTATTGCTACATTATATGCAAATACATAATCAACCACTATTTCTGATCGATTCAGATTAGTTTCAGCATATCTTAAATTTATGGATAGTTCATGATTTCCTTGAGTTTCAAGTTCATTGATTCCTTCATGGATATCAAAATTATTCAAATTTTGAACTTCCATATGAGATTCTTTCATAGCGTCATCTTGGCATTTAATCTTTCTTTTTTTAGGATTTTGATCCTTAGAACCCAATGGTCTACCACGCTTTAGGCATGCTTTTGACTCATTAGATATGACACTAGTGGATGGTCCTATAGGGACATCAATTCAAATTGGGACATTCTCTGCAGGAATATGTGATTTAGTAATCCTTTTCAAATCTATAAATGTGTCTGATATTTGATTTGTAATTTTCCGCAGATGAATAATCTTTTGTACTTCTTGCTCACAAATATAAGAATATGGATCAAGATGAGACAATGATAAATTTTTTTCACAAAATTTCTCATTTTATTTCCCTATTTTCTTCCCCTAATTTTGGGAAAACTTTCTCATCAAATCGACAATCTGCAAATCGAGCAATAAACATGTCTCCAATCAATGGTTCAAGATAGCGAATAATGGAGGATGATTCAAACCCAACATATGTTCCTAAACTTTTGTGAGGGTCCATCTTAGTGTGATTTGGTGGTGCCACAGGCACATGTACAACACATCCAAAAATTCTTAGATGGGATATATTAGGTTCTTAACCCATAACCAATTGCAATGGAGAAAACTTATGATAATTTGTCGGTCTAAGACGAATAAGTGTTGCAGCATGCAAAATTGCATGTCCCTACACAGAAGTGGGCAATCTAGTTTTCATAAGCAATGGTCTTGCTATTAACTGCAAACGCTTAATTAATGACTCAACGATACCATTTTGAGTATGAACATGAGCAACAGGGTGTTCAACTCTTATCCTAATTGATATACAATAATCATTAAATGATTGGGCTGAAAACTCTGCACCATTATCAAGGCGAATAGACTTAATCTGATTATTAGAAAACAGTGCCCTTAATCTTATTATTTGTGTCAATAATTTTGCAAATGCCAAGTTACGAGAGACAATAGGCACACATGCGACCATCTAGAAGAAGCATCTATTAGAACCATAAAGTATCTAACCGACCCACTAGGTGGGTGAATAGGTCCACAAATATCCCCATGTATACGTTCCAAGAACGTAGGGGACTCAATCTCAACTTTCGTTGGTGATGGTCTCACAATTAACTTGCTTTGATAACAACCAGTACAAGAAAATTCACCATTTAAAAGAATTTTTAGGTCCTTTAATGAATGTCCATTTGAATTTTCTATAATTCGTCTCATCATTATAGACCCCGGATGTTCCAGACAATCATGCCAAAGTACAAAAGTATTGGAATCAGTAAACTTTTTATTTACTATAAAATGTGCCTCAATTGCACTAATTTTTGTCCAATACAAGCCAGAAGATAAAGCAGGAAACTTTTCTATAACACATGTCTGCCCAGAAACATTCTCAGTGATACCAAGATATTCAAGATTTATTTCATCCATTGATTGGATATGATAACCATTTTCACTGATATATTTAAAACTCAACAAGTTTCTCCGAGATTTGAGAGAAAACATAGCATTATTTATGATGAGTTTAGTTCCCTTAGGCAAAATTACAATGGCTCTTCCAAAGCCCTCAATCATATTAGTACTACCAAAAATTGTAGTAACATTTATTTTGCTCATACTTAAATGAAAAAATATTTCTCATTTTTAAATATCGTATGTGTTGTACCAGAATCAATCAAGCAAATGTCTTCATATTTAGATAATATGTTTTTAGAATTATCCATATCTTCACATGAAATGACATACACAAAATAAACATATATTAAATATTAGTGTTGTCAAAAGGCTACAATATATTTAATAATTATTAATGTAATAAACTAATAATTAAATATTAGTAGTTGAGCCTTAATTTATTGCTTCCTTTAAGTCAATAACAAGCCGTTAGGAAAAAATAAAACAAAAATCATTATTTAATCCTAGTTAATAACGAACTGCATGCTTTTAGCATTAGATCAAGTTAAAGACCTAATATAACACAAACACATAATAAAGTTTAGTATTTGACTAACACTATCACATTAAAATCTGCAAACACATAATAGGATTCAACGTTATTATAGTTATAGCATTTGTTAGTCACTAAACATTTTGTATCCATAGCAATAACACCCAACTATTGGGTCAAGAACGATTTTTATAACCTTGTTAATTTCAACTCACAAATCATTCGTTACTAGCTAGAATTGTATATACATTCACAAAATCATATAAATAAATCAATGAAAAATATATATTATCTAATTAAGATGGAACAAATTAATGAACTACAAGAATACAACTAAACTAATTTAAAATACTAATACTCATGTAAACAACTATCATTACATGAAATTTATTAATAACTACTACCATAAAAAAAAAATCACTCTTTCATGTTCACAGAATCATCGCCAATTAAGTGATCTATCTTTCCTTCAGGATGTGTGAAGAAATCTTCTACATCCAAGTGTGTGATGTCAACTTGATTTTCAGAGACAAAATTCGCTTCAGGATTTTTCACTTTCTTCTTTAGCGATTTTTTATAAAGCTCAACCAAGTGTTTGGGAGTACGACAATCACGTGCATAATGACCTCTTCCACCACATCGAAAACAACCTTCCCAAGTTGCTTCACGTTTCTCATCCTTTCTTTTTTCCTTTTGATTGTGATTTTTATTTGATAAATGATTAACACCAGGAAAAGAATTACGTTCTTGACCATAATCACGACCACGCCCACGACCAAGATTAGGGCTGCGACCTTTTCCATGCCTAGCATGGTGGACATACGCCTCATTCACTTCAGGAAGTGGTTCAGATCCAGTAGGTCGATTCTCATGATTCTTCATTAATAAATCATTGTTTTGCTCAGCCACAAGAAGATGAGAAATTAGTTCCGAATAATTTTTGAAACTTTTCTCTCGATATTATTGCTGCAGGAGCACATTTGAGGCATGAAAAGTGGAGAACGTCTTTTCCATCATATCAATCTCACTAACCGTTTCTCCACATAATTTCAACTGAGAAGTGATTTTGAACATGGCAGAATTATACTCATATATAGACTTAAAGTCTTGTAGCCTTAGATGCATCCAATCATATCGTGCCTTAACTGTGAGATATTCGATTTTTAGAATCTCGTCAAGATGATGACGCAAGAATATCATTGCCCGCGCATAGTTCTGCTTTGATGCCTTATTTTCTTCTTTTATGGTGTCTCCAAGACCCATTGCATCAAGGTGGATTTCAGCATCCAACACCCATGAAAGATAGTTCTTGCCCGAACTATGAAGGGCAATGAACTCTAGTTTCGTAAGATTGGCCATTAAAATTAAAAGCAAAAGAATAAATAATACCTTTTTAATTCTTCAAACTTAACCTTCACTTTTTGAGACGGTAGAGTCTCGTGCTGATAACGTGTTATGAAACTATAGAATAAGAAGAAGAAAGTAGAGAGAGGAGAAGACTTATTATAGGGATGATTTTACAATGAAGAGGACCCCTCTATTTATAAGGAAAATCCAACTTGGTCCCCAAGTTGGATTCCTAACCATATCCTAAAAGGACTCCACATAATAGACTTTCACTATAATACAAATACTTTATATATATATATATATATATATATATATATCCCTTTTTAAAATCAAAATCCACTTTATTCTCTTCTTTCTAATTTCTTCAATAGTTATTGCCATCTTCCTCTCTTTCTTCACAATTTTCTGCTCATTGAAATGACATCAATTTTTTTTTGTAATTGTGGAAAAAGAGCTTTAATGAAGATTTCTTGGTCTCTAAATAACCCAGGTCGCTGGTTTCTTGGATGTGAAGATGGTCGAGTAAGGTTTCATTTTAGATGACCTTTTTTTATGTTTAAATTCTAGCATTCAAGATATAATTTTATGATTATTTTGTTGCTTCTTAAACAGGCTGGATGCAAGTTTTTCAAGTGGTGCAAAATGGATTATGACGAACAAGCTAGAATTGTTATTTCAAGATTACAAAAAAGGATAAGACAACATGATGAAGAAAAGGAAAAAATTAGGAGAAAATATTGGGCTTTGTTGATCGTTGTGATCCTATCTTGAATTTATAAAGAGTTCTTTATGTAGTCATTGTTACGTATGTTGATTTTATGTACTTTGGTTGCTTGCAGGAGTCATTTTGGGATCATAATGTAGTTTTTTTTGCGTTGATAACGGCCTAATGTAAAGAAGTTCTTAAGTAAATAGTAATGAAAGATTGTAAATTAGTTATTGAATAATTGTATGTTAGTTCTGCAAACGTGTCTTGATATTCCAAAATATTTATAGACGTAATTAACTTCTGCTGCTAATTGACAATTTTTGGACGTAATTGAAGAAGAACAAACACTAACGAAAACAAAAGAACTATATTGGCACATGGATGTGTAATAAAGGTGCTACGATATTCTTCAAAATCTAGTATAATTGGCAAAACAATTGGCTCTGGAAGATGTTTATATGGAGCACAAAAGCAACACCATTGTACATTTGGCAAAACTCATGTTTCTTGCTTCAATGCTACTGTAACCTACAAATAATAGAGCAACTTGTATCCTTTTTGTTTTAACAACAAAAATTAAAAGAGCAAAATCTTATAATATAACAGCAGCTTCGCTCAGTGGAGAATAATCACACTGGAAGCAACAAAATAGCAGCTCACCCACATATTACATCGATCAGTAAAATAGCTCGCATCCACATACTACATCAATAAAATAGCTCATACCCATATGAAGCTATATCTAATAAAACTACTCAAACTCACATAGTATGTACTAAGCATCTTACCCTAACTCTATGAGGTTCGTTGGGTTTAATTTTAATTGAACCTTCTGTCGAACACCATAATCAGCGATAGATTTTCTAAACTCAACTGCACTCTCAAATATCATACCCAATTCAAAGAAAGAAATGGAAGAAGAATTATCATACCTCAATTTTTTGCTTTTTCATCTTGAAGGTAAATCAACACCTAGTTGTGCTAAAACATCTAGCTCTTCATCGCTAACTTCACTTGGTTCATCTGATGAACCAATGAACTCTTCATTACCTCCCAATCTACCAATATACTTGGTTGCCTTATACTTGAAAATATCCTCAAATCCCTTATCTATGCCAGCTTCTCCAAGCTCAACCTCTTGATTCTTGGAAGATTTTTTAATTCTCTCTTTTGGCTTTGCAACTTCATTCCTCTTTTGTTGTCTCAGACTTTCTCTAAAGGCTCTCAACTCTTCATCAACTTCACTATCATCCTCATCCGAAACCCCATCTAAATCTTCCTTTTCAAAGTCAAGAGAGTTACTATTTTCTTCCTCATTATCATTACCAGCTCCCTCGTTTAAGATACCATTTATACCATCCTCAGGATGTGAGGCTCTAGAGGAATCCCCCAATTCTTGAATATTTTTTTCACCAGAAAATGTTCCCAAGACAGTGCTAGTAGTGGCCCCTTTCTTTAACAATCACATGTTTTAGATACAGATTAAAATAGGACCCACTTCACAATTCTTTAACACAATTGTATAGTTGACTGTCACTTTCTAACTTCACAAATCTATGGGTAGTATGGTCTTCAACATATAAAACTTCAATTTCATCATACCTAGCATCTTTTGCATAAGATTTCATTTCGGTCAAGGAGAAGTGGTCCTTGTCTATGTTAAATATAATATTTTCCAATTTCAAAACATATTAACCATTATAAAAGCTACCTCCATGGTGAAAAACAATGATAATGTGACCCATATGTTCAATACTGTGAAAAAATAGAGCAAAATAGTTGTGGTAAAAAAATCATATTATTTATATAAAATTATCAAAAATGAAATTTCAAAAGGGGAAATTAAACATACCTCGACTAAATTGAGGAAGAAGAATAGATAGACATCCAAGTACGTGAAATTTCACAACAATTCTTGAACAATTTTACCTTTGATTCGAAGGATGAAATGTAGGAACTTAGCGTTAGGGTTTTGTAGAGAAGAAAGAGGAAAACGTTGTTCTCTATGCTAAGCATAGAGTCATTGATATACCGTGAGTTTACAATATTTTTGATGCATTTCACTTAGAGTTTGTGTGTGTCTTGGGATATTTTGCTAGTAGGAATAATATTTTATGTGTAATTCTTGCAGGAAATAGGCTGGAATGCGGTTGATGAAGATGCAAGATGAAAAGTGCAGAAGTAGCCACCAACGGAGCCACTCACGATCGTAGGTCCAACGACGGGCCGTGGATGGGCAGTCGTAGGTCCTTGTTTAGGAGTTGAGTTTCAGTATTCAGTCCATGGAGTGCCAGGACAGACGTAGTCCAGTCCACAGACCATAGGTGATGTATCGTACGTGAAAGATCAGGGAAGTCTGACCAAATGTGGAACCACGGAGCAGACGATGGACCGTAGGTCGACCCACGGGTCATCCTACACATCCGTCTATGGAGATCTGGGAGTTGAAGGTTCCAGTACCTGATTAATTTTTTCAAGTGTTGAACCACGGAGGGGGACCTACGGACCATAGGTCGACCCACAGTCCATAGGTCGTGTCGTCGACAGAAGCCGCGTTCCAACAGTTTATTTCCTTATTTTGTTTCCTATTTTATTTAGGATTTATTTTCTATAAATAGTAGTTGTAATCCTCATTTTGGGGGGTTAGACATTATTGTAAACTTCTAATTTTTGATTTTTGGAAATTAATTTTGCAAACACTTAGCAATTTAATTTTTGGAATTCGTTTGATACAATTTTCACTTTGAATTTCAATTCAAGATTTAGGTTTTCATCTATTCTAACTGTAAGTTCATGAATTCTTTTAACCTAATTATGAATTGTGAACTATCAAGCATGAGTAGCTAAATCCACAACTAGTGTTGTGGGAACCATGAACAATTAACAAAGTATGAATAATAATTAAGTAATTGTTGAATAGTGTTTATGCATGTATTGTTAATCCTTTCATTTAGAAGTCTTTTTAACGGTGCGCAACGTTAGAAATCACATCGTTCCTACTTGACGGACCAAGGAGGTAGTGAATGAGAAAAGGATTAAACAATAGAGATTTAGTAGATGTTATCAATAGTTTGATGTCAATTTGAGTGAGGGTGAAAACTAAGCCATACATTGATATGATAACTAATCTGGGGTAAAGGTAAAGGTTAATAACGCATACACCTCTAGCCGGACCAAGGTGCGTGGTGAAATTTCCTATTTAGATGACCAATCACTTAGGGATACCCAACTTACCAACTTTGGATGTTAATCACTAGGAAATGATTACTATTATTAGGAGTACGACGTTAAGAGCCTGTAGGGAACACATATACCTAGTTTCTCTCTCATATTGATAACTCAAAGTTTGAATCTTGTTTACTTGTTACTAAATCAACAATCTGCTATTTTAGATACAAAACCCCTCTGTTTACTTTTCTCGAAAATAGTTTGACTAAACAGAGATAATAGTGAGTTAAGTTTAAGTCTGAACCATATTCCTCGTGGGATCGATCCCAACCTACAAGTTGGGTTCTTTATTTGACAATGATCGCTTATACTTCTTTAGGGATGTGTAATATGCATATCAGTCATAGTTGTTAATTGATATTTATTTTGTTGTTATGTTCATATTTTTAATTGAAAAATCCACGTGTATTTATTTTAATTAGTTGGCCGCCACATAGAAGCATTTGTATATCACGCACTTTACCTGTGATATATGAGTGTTTAATTGTTTAAATTTGTGATAGTTAAAGTGCCTACTTATGCACTGGCAAAGTTTAGGGTCATAGTTATTAATTGATGCCAAGTTAAAAGTCCTATTTATGTATTATGCCCTAAAAATGTATTATGTACCAAAAAGTCTTTTAAACTTCATGATAAAAAAGCACATCATGTGAAATGTTAAAATTTTAAAACATATTTAATTTCAAATATATTATGTTTTATTAAAAACAATAAGTAAATCTACATGTAAACTATGTACTTATTATTGGTGCAGCGTGGGTTCATTTCAATTTCCATTTGGTTTAAATGGTTTCTTCCAATCCCAATTGATTATCCTACAAAAAGTCAACTGTCAAACCTAGTACTACCCCTTAATTACTTACTAGGACCAATTATTTAAGGAACAAGTGTAATGACCCTCCAGGTCATTTTTGTCGTTCTCTAATCTTTTCAATGTTTAGAGTTTTCCTATAGTGACCCCAAGTCATTTATGACTTGCTGGGACTGAGAGTTTGGTTGTTACGTCGTTCTTTGGATTTTGTGCAAGTTTCTGTGTTTTGATGCCTTTGAAACTTGAACGGTTAACTTTAGT